GAATCAACACCACTTATTCAGTGGGAAAAGAATCTTCCGAGAGATTTTAAGTCCTCTTCTTGTGGGCTGTTGTAAAAAGCCTAAAGGTAAAAATAATATGTAACACCCTGAAGTTTTGTCCTTTTTTTCCATCTGGACACTTAAGAGCGTTTCTACATCGAGCCTGGCTTTTGGGGACTCATTGCTGTATTGCATTACGTTAGTCACCCTGTCTTTTCTAAGAGTTCTCCACAAATGGAAAAGGCATCGAATATTTCTCTGGTTGATCCTTATATATACATAACCACTGCAGATCTCAAAGAGAAGTCCTTTGTGATGTCATGCCACCTGCTGTTACATAGGTAATATTTGAGTCAGAAAATATCATTGGACCTGTATTGGTATTCATGAGAAAGCCGGTTTGGGAACATAGATCCTCTAGAGAAGAATATAAAAATTTAGGTGTAACACAAGTAGAAACTGGACTAAATGACCAGTTACCCACTCTAGAAATCTGAGTCACACTTTCCTCTCTCTCCTTCATTTTCCATGGTCAAGAAACCATTAAGTCCTACTTCTGTTTTCTCTACACTATTGGTAAGTCTGTGTTTTCTTTTCTTTATACTAATCAATAAAATCTATTGAGGCATGATGCAGAATGTTATTTTTCTTTTTTGTTAAGATTTATTTATTTATTTTAAAGGCAGCGTTAGAGAGAGAGGGAGAGGTAGAGGTCTTCCATCCAGTAGTTTACTCCCCAAATGGTCGCAATGGCCAGGGTTGGGTCAGGCCCAAGCAAAGAGCCAGGAGCTTCTTCTGGGTCTCCCACATGGGTACAGGGGCCGAAGAACTCAGGCCGTCCTCCGCTGCTCTCCCAAGTGCATCAGCAGGGAGCTGGACCAGAAGTGAAACAACTGGGACTTGAACCATCACCCTATGGGATGCCGGCACTGCAGGCAGCAGCTTAACCTGCTTGACCACAGTGCTGGTCCCAGAATGTTATTTCTAACCTTCACAACAGCCCTGAAAAGAATATGTATTATGGCTCCGTTTTACATGCAAGGAAACTGAAACTCAAAGAAATGACGTAGAATCCCCACCCTGCCCCCCAGTCATCGTTTTATTGGTAGAAGATCTGGAATTTTATCTCAGGTCTACCAGCTTTCCTTTCCAGTGTCAGTTCTACCCACACTCTCCCTTCTGCGTGCCCTCACGTGGTCTAACTGACATCACTGCATTGCCTTCTTGCTGATCCTGCACGCAGCCCCTCCCTGCCGCGTCCTCCCCAGCCTTGACTGGCTTACCTGAGGTGGGCCCTGGGGGCAGAGAGCATGGCTTCGAATCTCCGCACGCAGCCCACTGCCTAGATCCACGTGTGGCACATGTGCTTTCAAACTTGCATCAAATATGCTCTTTTCCAAACTCAAAACCCATTTTTTTCCTTCCTCAACTCTACAGGATAAACTTGGCTTTGCAGCCTCATCTCTTATCTATTTTTCAGTCTTCTGGCCATGTTGAGATTTTCCTCGTGTGAATGTGCTGTACCTAATAAGCCTTCTGTGCCTTTCTTCATTCTGCCCCCACTCTTCTACACTGATGAAATGTTCTTCGTCTCTCGAAGATCAATTCAACTGCCATCTTCTTTTGAAACCCGACTTCTTCCTGTTAGAAGGATGAGTTGTTGCTTCTTCTCTGTTCCACTGCACATGGTTTCAATCCTCATTATGTGACAGTGAGCACAGTGTATTCCCCCGAGAACATAGATGAACCCTCCTCTCTGCCTCCTTCTGGACTGGAAACTCTTGGGGGGCAGACACATCTTGATTGGTTATTTTTAAATTTTCTTTATTTGAGAAGCAGGGAGACAAAGTTCCCCAGATGCCTGTAATGCTGGGCTGAAGCTGAGAACTGGAAACAAGTGTGTGGGTGGGGGGACCCAAGTAGTTGAGCCATCACCTGCTGCCTCCCAAGGTGCACGTTGGAAGGAAGCTGGACTTGAACTCAGGCGCTGCAGTGTGGGACACTGTCTTAGTTGGCATCTTAACCACGTGGCCAAATGCCACCCCTCGATTTATTTTTGTATCCCCAGTGCCTAGCACAACATGTGACACAGAAGACTGTTGAATGAGGTGTTGAGCTCATTCCACTTAGAGATCTTACCCCGTGTCCTTACTAGGTTGATTGCTGAGTAGGAGTAGAACAGTTTTCTTTCTGGAACCATAACCCAATAAAAATGAATATAATTTTGATCTGTTGACATCTAGAAAAGTTTGCACTTAATCTCTGGGGTGATTATTCTTATCAATGTAGTTGATTCAGTGGCTTGTGCCAGAACTTCAGTATACTGCCTGTACTAGTGAGCGTCCAGCAAATGTTTGGTGACTGGATGAACAGTGAGTTAATATGTATGTGTGAAACACTGAAGAGATATGTGCGCATCTCCTCAGCATACCAGGAAAACCAAAAGGACCATCCCCACAAACATTTGCTGTCTAGCAGGCTATCCACATCGCTTTCTATGGAAATAAGAAGACATCTTCCCAGAGGAACGAATTTACAAATATTGGCCAAAGTTTGAGGCTAAACCCAAAGCCTTATGCAGAACATAGCTGAAGTAGGCTAGTGGTTGTGCGAGCTGTGAGCTGTTTAGCAGGTGCAAGGCCTGCTCTTGGGAAGGGTGAGCCTGTCTGGAGACCCGCAAGCTGGCCCCTGGGTTTGAGCAAATCTCCACCTGGGAGCTGTGTAAGCTGGAGGTTGTTCTGCTTGGTTTTGCGACTGTGTTGCTGTTTTTCCGAGTGTAGCCTTGTTTGTTATTAGTGCTTTACCAACAGTCTGCTCGACAGATCTCTACACAAAATGCATAATCCTCAGCTAATGAGACTTGTTATTTTGGAGTTTATATTCTTAAGCCTCTGATGATATGCAAGAAGAAAAGCCAGACATTTCCAAATATCTGAAGTGGAACATCACTTGTTAAAGATTTTATTCACAGGGTGCTGGTACCTAACTCTGAGTGTCCATCGTTTTCACATTAGAACTAAACCTCTCCGCTGACCATCCGACATCCCCATATAAATTCTCTTTCTGTTCTTCCCTTCCCTTCCCCTCACTCTCCTTACATGTTTTTGCCTCCCCGGGTAAACCTTGCTGATAACTCTTACTCGTGTTTCCACCACTGCTTCCACTTCTTTGCTGAAACCACGGCCATGTTCAGAACACCCTCCTTAAGATTCCTAAGGTACTCATGAACTTCAGAATTGCTCGGCGAATTCGAGAGAGATTTCTTGAGCAAAGCGAGGAGCTGAGCTAGACATGGGATCTCCTGTAGCAGACTGGCAGAGGTCAGGCCTGAGAATCGCAGTGTCTGCTCCAAGGGAGGATGTGCCCTCCTCATCAAGCCTTCCTGTCTTAGTGGCAGTGAGATGCTGGCCAGGACCCTTTTCCTAGCCCAACGGTTATATGCTCTACCTAGCTGAGTATATCAAAACACAGTGCATGGAGCTTCCTCGTATCCCTTTTTTTTTTTTTTTTGAAGTTTTATTTCTTTACTTGAAAGGCAGAGTAACAGAGAGGCAGAGGTAGAGAGAGAGAGAGATAGAAGTCTTCCATCCGCTGGTTCATTCCTCAAATGGCTGCAACAGCCAGAGCTTGGCCGATCTGAAGCCAGAAGCCAGGAGTTTCTTCAGAGTCTCCCACGTGGGTGCAGGGGCCCAAGGACTTGGGCCATCTTCTACTGCCTTCCCAGGCCATAGCAGAGCACTAGATTGGAAGTGGAGCTGCTGGGACTTGAACCAGCACCCATATGCTGGCACTGCTGGCAGAGGCTTTACCCACTATGCCACAGCACTGGCCCACTTCCTCTTATCTTACATTTGCTCCTTTATTATCATCGGCCTGTACCTCCTAAGATTATCAGCCACGAGTATTCCTCTGTTAGTGCTTTTTGAGTGTTGTCATTCACATCGTCATATGAGAATCATCTTAAGCATGGATCTCGTAGCAATCCAGTGTTTTTCTATTTTCTTGGTTGCGTATTCATTTAATGTAGATTAATAACATTACCCAGCTTGTTATTGAATAGACTAATGTGTTGGTTGTTAACTGGCGCCTCTGAAATAAACCTAAAAAACTGAATATCTGCAATGATTACTTAGTTCATTGTGCATTATAAAAAGCCCCCAGTAGGCCTCAGAGTCCTCCAAGATGAAACACAGTGTTTAGCCTTAAGGAACTCGGTACCTGGAAGAAGCAAAGTTGTAAACGTAATGAGAAGTAAGGTACTCCACTTGGAAGGTGCACACAGAGGAGAGCGCAGCGCTCATTGACGGCGCCAGCTTGTGTTGTCTGAAATCACTCTTCCGCGCATGCTGGGTACAACGAGTAGATGTCTCCATTCACAAAGAAGACACTTTAAGGAGCACCAAGGTCTTTTTTTCTTTAATTGTCTGGCTTTCATTTAGGTAAGCTTTCATAGAAACAGTGGCTCCTACTCTGGAAATAATAACAATTACCATAGTCAGCAGAAGTGAAGTGATTGTGTGTGTGTGTGTGTGTGTGTGTGTGTGTGTGGGAGGGAGGGAAGGAGGGAGGGAAGGAGAAAGAGAGATTGCTTTCCATCATCTGTTATTTCAAATATCAGAGGAAGTGTTGATTTTAGTGTTTATAAGTAGTATGTACTTTTAAAAATGTTTAAAAACATTGAAGTATTCAAAAGTGGAAATTCAACCTGACCCCTAGTCCAGCCTGAAATATAAACTATTTTAGCATTATTATGTGTTTCATAAACTTTATCTTTCACTATATAAATGATTTGGGCTTAGAGGCACTTTTTTAGATAGTGTACATCTTTTTAACAATGAAACCTGTTGCTAGAACAATGCAAGGCCTCCGGGCAGGCCACTGGAGGTCAGCCCTTGGTGCCCTGGACCAGTGAGAAGGGGTGAGGAGCTTGCCCAGCATGCCGCTGTGTTGCTGTGTTTGAAGGTGCGACTTCCCCTCACAGGACACTGTGGGTCTTCCAGGTCTCTCGACTCAGGGCTCACCAGCGCTGTGCAAGGCCTGTGCATCACAGACACACACCTGGTGGAAGTGGACGGGGACACGCTCTCCCTCTATGGCTCAGGAGCGCTGGAATCCCTGGACCGGAACTGGAGTGTTCAGACCGCAGGAATGGTCACAACCGTCTCCTTTACCTTCATAGAGTTCGATGAGATTGTGCAAGTGCTTCCCAAACTGAAGATGAAGTTTCCCAACTCTCTGGTAAACATTTCCTCTAGTGGTGTATTCGAATTCTTCTTAGTCGTGACTTGTGTGCTTAGGCCAAAAGGCCTGTTTTAGCTTTTACTTAGACAGCCTCTAACTGGCTGGGAAAGTAGCTTTGTGTTCGTTTTCTATAGCTGGAATTTAAATCAGTGCTCATAAATGGCCTTGCAGTTTTGTGTTAATATTAGAAATTATAAAAGACTATGTGATTTCCCTCAACTCTTGTCTGCACTTCCCGCTGCAGTCAGCAGGGCCGCCTCAGCTGACACTGTGTGTCCAGTCCCTGTGCCTGGTGTCACTGGGACACGTACATCTGTTGTATGATTTTACTGTAGTCTCCTGGTGACATCAAAGTTAACTAGTAGCTCACTAGAATCGCTTGGAGCAGTTAGCTTTCCCCAGTTTCGATGTTAACCAGGTCATGCAGTAGCATGCGTTCACAGAAACTGATTTCCGTAATGAGTTCTGTCTTGAGTTTTTATTATCATTGTGTCTTTAAAAGTGATCTTCCTCACTTGCTGTTTCACGGTTGTCCGCCGCCCCTCACTCCGCACACCCACCTCATCCTCCTGGAAGGAGATGGGTACAGATGGGGGGTTGCTTTAGATAAGCCCAGGCCAGTGCACCCACAGAACCTTCCACTAGCACTGCGGTGTTGGGGACCTGACCTCTCTGGAGCCGGGGCCGCCAGCTGAGGCGTGCTGGGCGATATGCGGGAGCCTGGGAGCCCCGGAGTCTAAGCTTCCATTTCCAGTCTTCCTTTCTCAGTGCCAGGGACCAAAAGTCAGGGTAGTACCAGAGCCTGAAGTAGTTGAGACTTATGTAGCTTTTAAGAATCTTAGCTTATTAATAAATGGGGTTGTCCTCTCCAGAGTCACACAGAGCTTAATATTGGATGGATTCCATCAGTGATGTATTGAATGGATTAAAGTTATGTACTTTGTGGCATGCAGTTGACTTAATGTAATTGAAAACATATTTGCTAAGCCAAACACTTACAGATTTGCTTGAAGGATGCTTAGTGAGCCCTCATGTTAGTAGGTTAAGATGGTTGAACTCGGCAGTCAGACCTCTGTGTTTTATTATCGCAGCACCTTAAGTTCAAGGAGACCAATCTCGTCATGCTGCAGCAGTTTAACGCGCTGGCACAGCTCCGTCGCATTGACCAGCTCACCATCGACCCTCAGGGGAACCCCGTGGTCCAGTTTACACTCTGGAAATACTACGTCCTGTTTCGGCTCAGCCATTTCAGTATGCAGAAAATAAACGGAGCAGAGGTACGCTCAGCCGGGGGGGCCTGTGCCGGACCAGCGCGCCTTTTTAGGAGAAACAGTCAAAACGGTGAGGAATCGGCGTATCCACGATCGAACTTTTGAGAGTGCTGGTTTGGCAAGAAACCTGGGTATTTTAAAATGTCGAAAGGCTAAAATTCTTACCTGAACGCTTCTGTAGCACTGAACACATTTTGAAAATAGCACAGTGACCAGGTCACAGTGAGAAGTAAGTGCCTGTGCTGTGCTTTGTAGGCGTTCAGAGCAGTAAGATTGGTGGATGGCAGCTTCTCACCGCGTCGTGACCTTGGCATTTGTGAGCGCTCTGCCGCCTGCCTGGCATGAAGACGGAGAGGGGACGTGAACGAACTGTCCGTCCATAAAGGCTGTGGCAGAAAAGGGGAAAACGGGGTAGGAGAAAGGAGGTCAGACAGGGAACGAAGAAGGGTTTGAAAAAGAGACGAGAAGGAGAAATGGTACAAACGAGAGGGGAAGGAACGAACACCAGCGCGAGTGAGCGTCTGCGCTGTCCGGTCAGCGCTTGGTGACGGCTGCCCGTGCCGTGGCTGCGCTGCACAGCTCACTGGTGACCGGGGAATCATTAGCGACATTACTGTCAGACTGATTGCACCTGAGGGCAGCCTCAGCTACTTAAGACCAGGTTCTCTTTAAAAAGTGACTCAGAAGAAAGAGAAGCTATGCCCGTGCTTCTGTCAGATTAAATAATCCTCCAAAGGAACCATTTCAGGACGTTGTTGCTCCTCTTAGATCGTCTCCTAGGAGCCAGAGGACTGCCTTATGCTAAGATTGGCCCCACGGCTGACACGCCACAGGTCCCTCTGGTCCAGAACTCCAGCAACCCAGCCTGCCGCTGGCAGACGGCAGAGCCCTGGCTCCGTGTGCGAGCCAGCGCGCGTCCCTGCAGGCGTGAGTGCTGGCGTCAGGCGCATCTGGACCCAGGGCCTGACGTGGGCTCTGCAGGTGACTCTGGAGGTTTGGCGCTATTGTGGTGACCTTGTATGCCCTTGATTTTGTGGCAGAGACGCTCTGAGTCCCTGCTGTGACCTCGTAATTAGCCCCAACGTTTCCAAACAGGAGCCTGGACTGCACGGAGAATGGCTGTCTTGGCTGAGAGTGAGTGATCCCTCCTTAATAACTGACTATACTTTTGCCCCAGTTAACCCTAAATAGTGTATTTTCCCAGTTGCAAGTCACTTCTTGAGGAATACTTTGTATTGCAGAACTTTGAAATAGGAAACAACAAAGAAAAATTAGGAAGAAACAGAAAGAATGTATTCTGAGGGACCAGTGCCGTGGTGCAGCAGGTAAAGCCATTGCCTGCAGTGCCGGCATCCCATATGGGCGCCGGTTCAAATCCCAGTGCTTCTCTTCTGGGCCAGTGCTCTGGGAAAGCAGTGGAAGATGGCTCAAGTTCTTGGGCCGCTGCAACCGCGTGGGAGACCCGGAGGAAGCACCTGGCTCCTGGCTTTGGATCAGCACAGCTCCAGCTGTTGTGGCCATCTGGGGAGTGAACCAGCAGGTGGAAAACTCTCTCTTTGTGCCTCTGCCTCTCTGTTAACTCTGCCTTTCAAATAAATGAATCTTTTAATATATATATAGTCTGATTTACATTTACCCTCTAATGTAATCCTTAGTATTCTATAGTACAGTTACAGTCAATTTCAACTTCTCTCTGTGAGAGATGATACTGCTCCAGGTAGAGGTCAGCTGAACTAGGAGCCTTGAGGAACAGATGGAGTGGTGGCTTGCCTTGGCCACTAGGTGGCTGCATTGCACCAGCAGCCTGGTTGTCAGCGACAGGAGGGGCCTGAGGAGCCGGTCTCCACAGGTGCAAGGCGCACCGTGCTGATCTGATGGCAGGAGCCAGGTGCTTCTCCTGGTCTCCCATGGGGTGCAGGGCCCAAGCACTTGGGCCATCCTCCACTACACTCCCTGGCCACAGCAGAGGGCTGGCCTGGAAGAGGGGCAACCGGGACAGAATCCGGCGCCCCGACCAGGACTAGAACCTGGTGTGCCGGCGCCACAGGCGGAGGATTAGCCTAGTGAGCCACGGCACTGGCCTGAAGATTTTATTTATTTATTTGAGAGGCAAAGTTACAGACAGAGGAGACAGAGAGAAAGATCTTCCATCTGCTGGTTCATGCCCCAGATGACATAGAGATCAGAGCTAGGCCGACATGAAGCCATCAGCCAGGAGCTTCTTCTAGATCTCCCATGCGGGTGCAGGGAGCACTTGGGCCATCTTCTACTGCTTTCCCAGGCCACAGCAGAGAGCTGGATCAGAAGTGGAGCAGCCGGGACTTGAACCGGCACCCATATGGGATGCTGACACCACAGGCAGACTTAGCCCACTACACCACAGCGCTGGCCCCTGGTGATGACTAAAATGAATCTTTCCCATTGACATTTGGAACATTTTCCCCCTAAATCATTTTCATCTGAGACGCTATGGGACTTATGAAGAAATTCAGCAAGAATTTAAGGCGCCTCAAGTATAAGTCTCAGGAAACAGAGCTTCAGAATCAGAGCTAGCTCCCCACCCCATCGCCTCCCTTCACGGCGGGCCGCTTCTCCACTTCGTTTTAGTGAAGCTCAGAGAAGAAAGGAAAAGTGAAGACTTCTCCCGAGAGCCAGGAGAACGCCACTCCCTGAGCAGAGGGACGCTGTGTGTGGGTGTCTGCAGTCGCTGTTGTCTGACCCTCCCCTGTGGTCTCTCTGCAGGTGACCCAGAACGACCTGATCATGGCCGAGCGGCTGTTTGGGATCCTCGCACACGTGGCGTCCTCTGAGCTGCCCCAGTACCGTCTGATTTCCATTCTGGGTGACGCCAGGTAGCGTTCACGTCTGTGGTTTTTATAGAATGACTGCTGCACTAGGAAAAGAACTGAACTCCTCACACTTGCTCCCCGTCTCATGTACGCATCCCGCAAACATGCGTCCTAGACTTATTGTGTGGCTGGCCCTAGTCCAAGTGGTGGGGATACAAGCACAAACAAGAGAGTCCTTGTTCTCTGTGGTTTATGGCCTAATGCGTCAAAGGTACGCGCGATGTGCTGTAGCGGCTCCGCGAGCATGGGAGACAGGGCCTGCGCTCTGGACGGACCCGAGGGAGGGCTTCACGAGGGAGGTGGCAAACCATCCAGTTCTTCGGGGCAGAGTGGAAGTCCTCCCAGTGGGGCCAGCACTGTGGCATCATGGGTTAAGCCGTCCCCTGTGACACTGGCCTCCCTTATGGGTACTGGTTCGTGTCCCAGCTGCTCCTCTTTGGATCCCGCTGTCTGTGAATGGCCTTGGAAAGGCAGTAGAGGATGGCCCACGTGCTTGGGTCCCTGCACCCGGGTGGGAGATCGGATGGAGTTCCTGGCTCCTGGATTCCAACTGGCTCAGTTCTGGCCATTGTGACTGTTTAGGGAATGAACAGCGGACGTAGGAGCCAGCGTTCTCTCTCTGTAACTCTGACTTTCAAATAAATAAATATTTAAAAATAAAAGAAGTTTTCCCGATGGGAGGAGATCCACAGAAGCGCAGCAGCTGTCTGTAGCCCCGTGGAAGCAGAACGGGGGTGACAGGGAGTAAGTGATAGGAAGTGACACGGGTGGCGCTCCCGCGGGCTGACGCGAAGCAGAGCTGGAAAGCTGCCTCTAACAAGCACAAGCCGTGACTGGAGCGAGGAAGACTCCCTCTGAGCAGACACAGTGCGGGCCTGGAGCCCAGCCAAGAGGCAGGGCCGCGGGCCCGAGAGAGATGGGGATGGCCGGGGCTGAGGCCGCGACAGTGGATGGGCGCAGCTGGGCCAGCCCTCAGAAGGTGGATCTGACAGAGCCGACAGACAGGCGGTCGCACGTGGACACCACGCGGCGCACGAGGAAGTCTGCGTCTGCAGAAGCCGTGCGAGCTGCACAGCGGTCTCTAGGCTGGGCCTCCAGAGGGGACTGCCGGGGGTCACAGCGGAGCAAGCCCTCCAGGGGGACAGCACTCCTGCTCCAGGGTGGACTCAGCAGGCCGCTGCTGTCCTAGCCCTGAGCCCGGGGTCACAGCACTTCACCTGCATCAGGGCCCAGGGAGTGCCCGCCTCCCTCCCACAGCCTGCCTGAGCCAGCTGCCTGCTGCGACCTGCACCGCAGAGTGGGTGCCCTGTGCTCCTGCCGCCGCCTCCTCAGCTTCCGGATTCACAGCCAGCCCAGGGCATCTGACTGATGGGCTCTTACACCCCTTCAGGACCACAGAGTGACCTTGAAAAAATACAAAGGGAGGCATTGAGTTCAAGAAATTACAGTGCAGCTGGCGCCGCGGCTCACTAGGCTAATCCTCCGCCTTGTGGCGCCGGCACACCGGGTTCTAGTCCCGGTCAGGGCGCCGGATTCTGTCCCGGTTGCCCCTCTTCCAGCCCAGCTCTCTGCTGTGGCCCGGGAAAGCAGTGGAGGATGGCCCAAGTGCTTGGGCCCTGCACCCCATGGGAGACCAGGATAAGTACCTGGCTCCTGCCATCAGATCAGCGTGGTGCGCCAGCCACAGCGGCCATTGGAGGGTGAACCAACGGCAAAGGAAGACCTTTCTCTCTGTCTCTCTCTCTCACTGTCCACTCTGCCTGTCAAAAAAAAAAAAAAAAAAAAAAAAGAAAGAAAGAAAGAAAGAAATTACAGTGCAGAAAGTGGTCAGCAAACATTTTGGTTATCTAAATAAATATTCCACAGTAAGACAGAATTTAATCTGAAAACTAAAATCCCAGAAAATCCTCAGAGAACGGAACTTAAATTTGCAAAATGTCTTAAATTTTAAGGGCTGCCAATTAAAAAATAACACGCAATTTCTACACTAAAGAAAGCAGGAAGGGAAGAAAGTAGAAAAAGAAAAGGATGTAAGTTGCTGCAGCAAATGTTAATGAATGAAATCCGTAAGAGACAGGAGCTCTCAGCCTGTGTTGAAAATTGATGAGGCGCTGTTTTTGTGAGAGACCCTGCTAAGGAGACCTGAAGGGGATGACTGTGTGAGTAGAGGCATTGAGAAGACGTAGCAAGCAAATGCTGCCAATGCTGCCAGTCAGCGAAGGTGGGGCTGTTAATATCCGTGATGATAGAGCGATGACACGGAAAACTGCCATCCACCAAGGAAAGATAATAGTTACGAAACAATGTAACCAAGACCGGCTTCTACACATACCAAGGAATGCAATATACACTGGCAAATTCAGTTATTGTAGAAGTATATATTAATATACTGCTCTCATAAATCAGGTCAACTAACCAAAATAAGAAAGATTATAGAGGATGTGAATAGCACAGTTAACACACTTTAAAAAATAAATAAACTGGGGCCGGCATTGTGGCACAGTGGGTTAAAGTCCTAGCCTAAAGTGTCGGCATCCTATATGGGCGCCTGTTCTACTCCCGGCTGCTCCTCTTCCAATCCAGCTCTCTGCTGTGGCCTAGAATAGCAGTAGATGGCCCAAGTCCTTGGGCCCCTGCACCCACATGGGAGACCCGGAAGAAGCTCCTGGCTCCTGGATTTGGATCGGTGCCGCTCTAGCTGTTGGGGCCATCTGGGGAATGAACCAGTGGATGGAAGACCTCTCTATCTGTCTCTACCTCTCTCTGTCACTCTGTCTTTCAAATAAGTAAAATAAATCTTTAAAAAAATAATAAACTAAATATCTAATTCTCAAAACCTTATGCCCAATTCAGGAAAAAAAAGTACATTTTCTATTCAAACCTCTATGAGATGTTTGCAGAAGTTGAACTTACCTCAAACACCCAGAAAACCTCCGTGAGAGTGGGCAGTTAGCCTGGCCATTCAGACAGCCACATGCCTCCGAGCAGCTAGGTCCTTGCCACCCAGTGGGACACCGGGATTTCTTTCCAGCCCTGTCCACTGAGGGCATATGGGGAATGATCAAGTGGGTGGAAAGTATCTCTGTCTCTGTCTCTGTCTCTCTCTGTCTCTCTCTCTCTTTCTTTCTCTCCCCTCCCTCCCCCCCACCGTCTCCCTGCATTTCCAATAACTAGAAATTCAAAAGAGAAATGAATATCTCCATGTATCTCAGAAAGCATGCTCCTCAATGGTACAGATCCTTCTCCAATCATGGGTTATACAATTATATTCTAGTTTGAATAGCCAAAACCAATTTAGTTAACTGGAAAAACAAAATAAAAAAAAAAAATTAGGAGAAGCAAATTCCTAGGAAACAAAGTACCCATACCTTTAAACTTAAAAAACTCAATGTTTGACCTCAATCAAAATTATAGACCTGCACATTTAAAAATAATGAGATGATTTTGTGGATAAAAACTAAGTTTTATGCTATACAGCATGGTGAACCAGGGTTCTTACTTTCTGCCAGTGGTAATGAAAGCTTGCTCCAGTTCTTTTTTATTGCAACTTAAACAATATCCAACAGATTGTAGATGTACATACCTTTTTTTTTTTTTTTTTTGACAAGCAGAGTGGACAGTGAGAGAGAGAGACAGAGAGAAAGGTCTTCCTTTGCCGTTGGTTCACCCTCCAATGACTGCCGCGGCTGGTGCGCTGCAGCCGGCGCACCGCACTGATCCGAAGCCAGGAGCCAGGTGCTTATCCTGGTCTCCCATGGGGTGCAGGGTCCAAGCACTTGGGCCATCCTCCACTGCACTCCCGGGCCATAGCAGAGAGCTGGCCTGGAAGAGGGGCAACCGGGACAGAATCCGGTGCCCCGACCGGGACTAGAACCCGGTGTGCCGGCGCTGCAGGCAGAGGATTAGCCTAGTGAGCCGCAGCACCAGCCTGTACATACCTTTTTTATGTAGCAATTTCACTTAAAGGAAATTTGTTCTAGGTATGACTTTATTTTTTACAAAAGATTTATTTATTTATTTGAAAGTCAAAGTTACACACAGAGGAGAGGCAGAGAGAGAGAGAGAGAGAGAGGTCTTCCATCCGATGGTTCACTTCCCAATTGATCACAATAGCCAGAGATGTGCCGATCTGAAGCCAGGAGCCAGGAGCTTCTTCCAGGTCTCTCATGTGGGTGCAGGGGCCCAAGGACTTGAGCCACCTTCTTCTGCTTTCCCAGGCCATAACAGAGAGCTGGATCGGAAGAGGAGTCTCAAACCGGCGCCCATGTGGGATGCCAGCACTTCAGGCCAGGAGGTTAACCCACTGTGCCACAGCACCAGCCCCACCTATTTTTTTTTAACTTTTATTATTTGTTTGTTATTGATTAGCATGAGCTCTTCATGTGTTGTAGATAATTTTGTTTTGAATTATGATAAAGTCCAGTTCAGTTTTTTATGGATAGTACTCTTTATGATTTCTATATTTCAAGTTTTTTTATTTTCATTTATTGGAAAGGAAGACTGACTTCCATAGTGGCTTGACCAGTTTGCATTCCCACCAACAGTGGGTTAGTGTCCCTTTTTCCCCACATCCTCGGCAGCATCTGTTGTTGGTAGATTTCTGCATGTGAGCCATTCTAACCGGGGTGAGGTGGAACCTCATTGTGGTTTTGATTTGCATTTCCCTGATTGCTAGTGATCTTGAACATGTTTTTCATGTGCCTGTTGGTCATTTGGATTTCCTCTTTTGAAAATGTCTGTTGAGGTCCTTGGTCCATCTCTTAAGTGGGTTGTTTGTTTTTGTGGAGTTTCTTGATCTCTTTGTAGATTCTGGTTATTAACCCTTTATCTGTTGCATAGTTTGCAAATTTTTTTCCCATTCTGTCAGTTGTCTCTTCACTCTCCTGACTGTTTCTTTTGCAGTACAGAAACTTCTCAATTTGATGCAATCCCAATAGTTAATTTTGGCTTTGACTGCCTGCACCTCCCAGGTCTTTTCCAGGAAGTCTTTGCTGGTGCCTATA